AAATAATCGTAACTGGATCCTAAATTAGTGCTTCCCAACGCCCGAAGTAATTTAAAATTTATCTGTAAACGATTCAAAAGTAACCGCGGGCAAGCGTGTTTAATGTACAGAGTGGACAGCCACCTATTAACTTAATAGACCCATCTGTTTTCAAAATTCATTGAGGAGCGCTGTTGAACATCGCGGAAATAGCGCTTTACAAGCTAATTGATTGATTGATTGATTGATTGATTGATTGATTGATTGATTGATTGATTGATTGATTGATTGATTGATTGATTGATTGATTGATTGATTGATTGATTGATTGATTGATTGATTGATTGATTGATTGATTGATTGATTGATTGATTGATTGATTGATTGATTTAGTGACAATATAGAATAGATGGTATGAGAATTGATGAAATGGATAGAATTATTTAATTGATACCGGTTAAAATATTCTATTAAGAAAGTTTCAGAAACCGCTATGAAACTTTTCAAAACTTCCAACTATTAACGAAGATTTTTCACAACACTTGTAAATAATTATACACAAAATGACATTCTGTTGGTTGAAGATATGTTCTGTTTTAGTAACCATAACGTCAAAGAAACGATCTGCGTACGTTTTCAAACGACATCTGTAAAAATTTGTTAAAAATATTAACGGAACAGTTTAAATATTAAAAGTAAATTTAAATATAATAAAAACAATAAACTAAAAAAGTTGAAAAATAAAAAAATATTTTTATTTTACGTTTTTTTATTTCACGAATTTTTGATTAATAAAAAATGAACTGTTNAAACAATTTTCTTGTTTCGCTTAATAAAATAAAAAAATTATATAATTGCACTGCATAACAAGACTATTATGCGCGCAGCACAAAGGCCAACTAAGAAACATGGTCGTTTAAAGGTTTCATATCTAGATGACTAGATGTTACGTCGAGACATCTATGCTGATACCTAACGTAAGTCATCAGCACTGTTTGACAAATGAGTCTTTGGGAATATGATTTTTTGGAAAATCATTTAGATGTGCATATACAAAAAGTTGGGTAATAACGCCCTAAAATGCAAACTTTTAACAGTTTTTCAAAACATTTATTCCAATGGTTCTGCTGGGTTTCGAACCCAGGACCTTTCGCGTGTGAGGCGAACGTGATAACCACTACACTACAGAACCGCGATCAAATATGTAATTGCCTCACTTGTAGTTCAGAGAAATAAAACACTAAAACACGTTTTCATATACAGTTAATAAAATTAGATTAGCCATAACTTAACTTTTTTGTCTTGTCTGCAATTGTTTTACATTATTTGAAATGTTTACTTTGGTCTTTACCGTATATTTTAAATTTAAAAATTTTGTAATCTCTATCTTTTTGGAATCCAAAACAAACAACCAAAATTGATTAAAAATATGAATAGACATGCACAACCTCATGAACGTACAACAATGGGTATATATAATTATATTGTATCATTAGTAGTATATTAATTCTTGCCAGTCACACATGTAAGGAAGCAGGTACGTAATTTTTTAATATTAAAACTGTTAGACTGTAGTTAACTTTCATTCGCATAGTGTCACACCAACAACAAAATTTTCGCGTTTTATTACACTATTCATTTCAAGGCCTATTTACTAATATGCAACACTTTCTTGTGGGTTGAAGCAGGGATTGCAAAGAACCTCAATTTTTTCAACTTTCAATAATTTTCGGTAATGTCGATTTTATTTTTTAAATTTATACCAAATATAAGTAATTAATTATCACATTGAATAATAATTACAAAAATTAAAATTTAAAATCTTTTAAAACATTTTAAATAAAAGCAATATTCCGAAATTAGAAAATATACGATCGTTACTTTTGACTCGAACGATAAAAAAATCACCCTCCAACTCCCCTCCGGAAGTAAGCTCCTTGTTCGACCGTTAAAAGTGAGCGAAGGCGTTATATTTATTCTAGTTATATGATTCATTTATTTATTTTGCGCAGTATTGCGAAATAGCTTCTTAAGTGTTGGACGTCAAACTAGGCAACAAAGAAACAAAATCATTAAATCTCAACTTGTCTAATTTATTAATTCAACACTTCAAAAACATCATCCTCAGTAACAGAACTGCAAAAGTTTAGCCGGAATTGTATGAAAATTGAAAGTAGTAAAAGTAAAAGTCGAACTTGTTTTCATTCTAAACATTTTTATTGTAATAATCCGTGTTAGATAAATAATTTCGAAGTCCCACATACACATACCTATACTCCGTACAAAAAATACCAGCAAAATAAAGGAATTCTAGAATCAAGAGTTATTTTCATTCCTTCTTATCCCTCGATCTATCTATCAATCTACCTGCATACACCTACCTACCTATCTACCTACTCACCTGCTTGCCTGCCTGCCTAACTACCTACCTACCTACAAACAAACTCACCTACCAACCCACCTGAAAAGCAAATTGTGTAAATGGTTTGGAGACAAAACAGATTAATTGACTCGTAAATATAGTGAATGAAGAATGGCAGATGTTGGATTGATGCATGATTGCGAGCTTTGGCAAATCGTGTTCGGTCGTTTCTTTGATTGATTCTCTGTTCACCAACTAAATACACCAAAGCGCATGTAAATAAATTGATGTGTTGAAAGAAAAAAAAGATGAAAGATGAACAAATTTGTATGACAAAAACAATGGATGATAAGAAAGTAGTAAACAGCTAACTGATTGGAAGAATCAATGAACGAATTAATAAAAAGCAAATTATTTAGTTTTTTAAGGGCCCATTGAGTAAGTTGGCGAACGTGTTAATCACTGGGCGGCTAGGATTTTGGTTGGAAAGAACATGGGGACTTTGACTATCTGAAAAATAAATTTAAAGTTGACATGTAATTTTAATTATTTAAACGCAAAGAGTTTATTCAGCAAAAAAGCTAAAAAACCCTAAGCTAGGACTTGTTGGGCCACCATAAAATTTGGACTAAAAATTATAAATAGATAAAAAAATGTTTACATTTCCCAATAAAATAATGATATTTCTATAAATAAGAAAAAATAGAATAATTGAAATATTTATCTTAAAATTGAATAAATATGAAGTATATAACGGGAAATAATCAAATCAACAGAGGACATGTTTGAAATATTTAGACTGAATGAGCAAATAAATTGAAAAAAGAGCAAGAGAAGAATTTATTTATTTCTATAAATAAGAAAAAATAGAATAATTGAAATATTTATCTTAAAATTGAATAAATATGAAGTATATAACGGGAAATAATCAAATCAACAGAGGACATGTTTGAAATATTTAGACTGAATGAGCAAATAAATTGAAAAAAGAGCAAGAGAAGGATTTTTAGTAGTCATTGGTAATGAATTCAAAAGGCGCATAGAGATATATAAGACCTCGACAGATTCGAGGCTCAAAGGATAGTTGACACACACACACATACACACACGCGCACACACACACATACACACACGCGCACACACACACACACACACATGGAGTTCATCGTCGAATCGACGAATTGGGTCATCGGTGAGTCCTAGAATGAGCAAAAAGTCCTATCCTTGACCAACATTTCCGTGCACAAATTCCACAAATCCATACACCTGTACTATCGCCGCTTTGAGCCGTCTGTTTTCGTCGAGTTCTTTTTTCAGCGAGAGCAGCTGAGTCTAGTCCCCTCTCCAGTTGGAGAAAGCAGTGTCTCCCTAAATAGGACTGCTTTGTCGCCAAGGCAGGACCGAACGCCACTGTAGCCCTCAGTAACGAGCGACCATCACACCAAGGCCGCCTACGTGCTGGATAGTGGCTAGACACTTCCAGTAGTATCCTCTACTTGTGCCCGTCGTCATTCTCCAGTCGCCGCAGGGCTTTTACGCTCACAGCATCCAGCGAAGACAACCTGCACAATCACCCTCTTTTTCCACAAAGACCGTTGTCAACTGGCACATTAAATTGCGACGTGATGACTGAACAGTATGTACGTAGCAGTTTAGTTGGAACTGACACCGAGTTGATGAGCAGAACTATCCTTATAGCCAACTGCAGGTGCTAGCGATTTTCTGTTTGGGTTTACTTCTATAGCCTTTCCATGAATGGGTGTGGCCGCAAGGCAGCAGAGGTTTGAAGTCAGAGTTTTCCTTCTCCTAGGTGGATGACCAGCCATGGAACGTCTGGTTATGGCGCCAGTTACTCGCCTTCGCCCTTTCCTGTTAGTTTAAACAGCTTCGCCACGTGAAGGTCTGGAGTAGAACTTGATTGACCGACGTGAGATACCTACCGCCAATGGGAGCATTTTTTAGGAGATGAGAGTTCATTTCCATCCCCGGTAGAGAACCCGTTTGAAGCCACACACACACACACACACACACACACACACACACACACACACACACACACACAAAGATATATATAGAAAAGCCAAAAAATGTAGCCGTTTAGTGCTGAGTGACGTCGTTGACGAGCCCCACCCAGGCAACAAACTACACATTGGTGCCCAAACTCGTCAGCCCGAGCGCCACATCGGCACGTGTATTTATTTTGAACAACCAGGCCAATTCTAAAACTTATGGCAAATCTCACAGATTTGTTGTCAAGCTTGGTGCCTACAGAAGTGTTGTGCCACAATCTCAACCAACCGCAGCTGGCAACGCTGGACATGGCTAACAAACGAGCGGTAGAAGAGTCGTCGCCACATGAAGACAAAAGATTTTTACAGATATATTTATGTTCTTCGTTCAAAATTTGGACGTATGTATGTATGTATGTATGCATGCATGCATGTATGTATGTATGTATGTATGAACCCATAATTGATTAGAACTATAAGGAAGTAATAATCATATCTATGTTAAACGCTACGCACAGACAGGTATTTTAACGCTCCATCCAAAATACAGAAAAAATTATATTTTCGAAGTAAAATAGAGAAAGATTGCTTTACATAACTCTTATCTAATGGGTCACCAGATACTTCTACAATCCTGCTATAGAGTTCATTCAGAAAACTCTGAGTCTGAAAATCGGTTGGACCAAAGGTCTCAATACAGACTGGCTGAAAAATTTTGCCATTTGCAAGAGCCGCAGATTTTGAATTTTAAAGTCTGCGGCTCTTAATGCAGCGGCACCCGCCTCCTGTGAGGTAAGATTAATGTACCCTTCAGTCATGGTATGGGGGAACGTAACATCCCATGCAAGGGAACGTCCCTGCGCGCGTGGTGAAATAGTATACCCATCGGGCCTGAGGCTACCTTCCTCCATAAGACCCGTGGGTTCTTTAATTGTGGGTATGTTTGCCCTCTGAAAGCACCTGACCAAAAGGTCGTTCATGGCCGAGTGTCGAGCCTGTCTATCAGGGCCCAACCGACAGGAAAGACCATGATAGCCCAGGGGTTCAACATTAGCCCTACATAAACAAACATACTCAGTTAAAATGGGTAAACCGAGTCTCAGTCCCAAACTGACACGAACACAAGAGTCGTCCAGCCTGGTACCACAGGCGGAATTTGGGACCGCCTTCAACCAAGATGATCCCAACTCACTTTTTACAGCCATTATCCTGGCTTTATCAAAATTTGATTGGTTCAAATCCAGTAGCTTAGCAACTGAGCTGCTGATAAATGCCACTCCTTTTGAGAACGGGTTTTGATACAAATCCCCGCTCCGTGGACGGTGCGGAACCCATCAAAAACTTAGGTTCTGAAATTGTCGAAATATATTTTATCCCTGGGCAACAACAAATTTTGGAGAGGAACCGTGGCAGCAGCAGAAGCCAAGAAGGCAGAAGGTGCTAAATCCACCACGGTACCTAAACCTAAGCCACCAACCGAGATGGGCAGGGTTGCCTGTAACCAACCTTTCGGGTCAAGGGGAACGTTGAAAATCGATTGGAAGCCGTCACGGAGAGTTTGATCAAAACATTGAAGCAATGTATGTATGTATGTATGTATAAACCCATAATTGATTAGAACTATGTATGTATGTATGTATGTATGTGTGTGTGAGTGTGTGTGTGTGTGTGTGTGTGTGTGTGTGTGTATGTATGTATGTATGTGTGTATGTATGTATGTATGTATGTATGTATGTATGTATGTATGTATGTATGTATGTATGTATGTATGTATGTATGTATGTATGTATGTATGTATGTATGTATGTATGTATGTATGTATGTATGTATGTTAAAACCAAAACATGATGAGTGACACTGAACCGTCAAACATCAAGTAACAAATGGATTAACACTTTGATTTGTCGTTAATTGCACATGTCGGCATTCAGTTGGATATTTTCAAGCACACAGACACGCAGGAACCGCTGCAACAAGCACGAAATGTGGTTGGTTGCAAAAAACAGTTCCCTGCTGTCACCTGATCTGACACTGATCCTTTTGCCTATTTCCTTGAGAAATTTAAGGGTGTTGGGGTCCATCGGGCCGAGAACCTCGATGCATATTGGCAAGAATTCCATCGAGGGGAGGGCATTCCCATACTTTTTCATTTTCTCGTCCGCTGCCCTGGCCGCGGCCAAACCGCATTCTTTACTTGTCAGGTTTACGTATCGTTCGGCGAGGGTGCCAGGGACCGTAACATCCCACGCCAAACATCTGCCGGCTCTCCAAGGTATTAGCGTGCATCCGTCCGGTCGCCTACCATCATGCGCAGAAATGCCGGATGGTTCCTTGAGAACCGGGATTGAAGCCTTGGAGAAGAGCCGACAAATGTAATCGTTTAGCGCTGAGTGACGTAGTTGACGGCCCCCACCCAGGCGACAAACCAAACCGTGGTGCCCAAACTCGTCCGCCTCAGCGCCACATCGGCACGTGTATTTATTTTGAATGACCAGGCCAAGTCTGAAGCCAATGGTAAATCTTACAGACTCGTCGTCAAGCCTGGTGCCCACAGAGGTGTTAGGCCACGATCTCAACCACCCACAGCTGGCAACGCTGGACATGGCCAACAAACGAGCGGTGGAAAAGTCGTCGCCGCATGAAGACAACAAATTTTGAAAGATTTTTTTATATTCTTCGTTCAAAATCTGGACGTGCGTACGGTCCCCCGGGGCGGACGCTGGGGGAAGAATATCGCGGCAACGAAAAAACCGGTGGAGCAGGGAAGACTGTAGGTCGAGAGTGGCAGCGGCAGAAGAATTATAAACAACGGGAGCCAGCTGAACCACGCTAAGCAACCCCAGCCCACCAAATCGCACCGGCAGCTGAGCCTGGGACCAACCACTGTCGGTCACTTGAACATTGCAAATCGACGACAGGGCGGTGCGCAGGGCTCCGTCAAATTCGCCCAATTTAGAAGGGTCAATGTGTTTAGATGTACGCAGGAAGTACATCAATTTGGGCAAACTGAGGGCATTGCGGATAATAGTCAAGGCATCATGGGCCGAAAGACAGGAAACACGACCCAGGGCGAATTCAAGCTCAGAGAGCTTTGGTCAAAAAACTTTATTTGATAATCGCCCTCGACCAAGGGTGTGCCTAAAAAACTCAGTTCTGATGCACCAACTCTGGGTATTTCAGCCAGCGCATGTGGCACCTGAAATAAACTTTGGCAGTAAAGTTCGCATTTTTTAATGTTTAACTCTAAGCCAATTGCAGCGGAGTTATGCTTCAAATATTCGTAGCTATCGGCCAGAGTTGGACCGTCCGAAGCTATGCTGATATCATCCAGATAAGCGCAAACGAAGGTGGACGAAGCTTTCTCTAAGAGTGGATGAAGAGTTAGTGCGAACAACAAAGGACCAAGGGGATCACCCTGCTGTACCCCCTCGGACGATTCTACAACCCAAGAGTGGTAGCCAAGGGAAGAGACTCCGCCATAAGCAGAATGGCAAAAATTGTAGATGTTGGGGCAAAAAAGTTTGACAGCCTCCAACATCGAGTCTCTTCTCAAGGCATTGAAGGCATTTTTAAAGTCCAGTTTCAGAAACCCCCATTGATCGGGGAGGTCGGTGACCAATCTTCGAACCGCATGAACAGCGGCCTCAGCGCCACCCTTAATCCCGACACCCAGCTGAGTCGGGTAGAATTTGGTCTTGAGTTCGACCACGACCAGGGCCAAGGCACATTTGCCGGCCAATCTCCTCCAAACGTTCCCGACCGCAATCGGTCTGACCCCTCCGTCTTTCTTATTTAAAGCTATTAGCCGGCCTCCAAAAAAGAACCGGCGGACGGAGAGTGGGCAAGCTCCAGATAGGATCAAATTAATGAATTGGGTTAAGAAGTTCAGTGTGTCGTCAATTGGCAAGGGGCCTGAAAAAACATCCTTAAGGTGCTGGGGTCGTAGGCCATCCAGGCCTCCAGAAGAACCGTTTTTGAAAGATTTAACGGCCCTCAGCACCTCGGCGGGAGAAACGCAACCAGCCGTTGGTGTCAATGCGGGAAAGACCCGCCTGTCCACCGGAATTTTTGGGTGGATAGAACATAATTTATCGAAGGTGGCCGGCGAGCTCTCCGCCAGGCCCTCCGGCGAGCAGACAAGTCTGACCGCCGAGGACAGGTTTCCCTGTTCAATACAAGATGACACAGCGTTGATCCATCGATCGGGGTTGTGCTTTTGTGATTTGGCATTATTGAACCCATCAAAGCACAGTACCAGGGTTTCAAGACCAATAGTTGAATATTCGCTTAGACGCTTGTTGACCAGATTGCCCTGGTTGACCCGGCGACCTCCTCTGGAAGTCTTCTGTAAGACGTATGGGACAAAACAGTGGAGTCTAACCCAGTAAGCCGGGTCACCAGGGTCGTTACAAACAGCCGTCAGCAAGGCGTTCAGATCATGTGCGAACTTCTCCCTGCATGGCTTAGGGATATGGTCGTACACCGGTACACATTTCAGCACGGCCGTCAGCTTATCAAAAACACCAGAGTAATCCAGGCCGAGAGGATCACCGGAGACCGATGCGGCGGACGACCGTGTGGGCAGCCCAGGCCTGGGGTCGGGTGCGGCACCGAGAGGCGAAGCAGCCCTCGCGCCCGATGGATCAACTTTTTTCCGGGACCCCGAGCATTCCTGTCCTTTCACTTTACCTCCGTGCCGACATAACTTCCCGTCTGGAGTGCTTCTATAGTGGTTAAAGCAGACGGGGCACTGTTGTAACGTTGGAGCCAT